TTCAGAATACGCTCCTCCCTCTCTTGCATGTTTTGATCAGCAGTGACATAGCTAACGATGGTGACATTTAAATTATAATCACAGTGAGATAAACGGGACAGCACAGTCCTTCTAGAGCCATTGCAGGCTGTCTGCACACTCTGGCAGGAGTGCACACTTGGTCAGTTACACGTGACTCACAACTGCAAGGTTTTCTCCGCAGCTACCAGAGCTGGAGGCTCAGTTTTGTAAAACAGATGTTCAGATTTAGGAGCAGATGCAGCCTCTTAAAAAAAGACAAGTACCAGCTCCCCAAGCGACAATGAGCCAGCCCATTTCAACCTCAGATCCTGATCGGCAGCACTTTGCTGCTCTTCCCGGCCTTGGTCTCTTCTGAGCAAGGGAGCGAAACTGTAAATTCTTATCCCAAATTGTGTAGTCATTTTTTGATGTGGGCAATTATCTAGATTGAAAAGATCAGCCTCATTTCAGAGTAGTCAGGTAACGATGCTTTCTACTGGGGGCTTGGCTACCTCTAAAACGCTGCAGGGACGCAGCCGAGCGGCTGCAGAGCGCCACAGAAGATACCACCTATGCGGACAGCAGGGGTTCTCCTGTCGGCGTAGGTCATCTACCTCCTCGAGAGGGGGTAGTTGGATTGATGGGAGAATTCTCCTGTCAATCTCGCGCTGTCCACACCGGGAGTTAGGTCGGTTTTAACGGCATGGCCACGGGGGTGGATTTTTCACACCCTGGAGTGACACAGTTATTTTCGTAGCAGAGCAGGCCCGAGTCTGGAAGTCTGAATCCAGTGAAGCGTGTGGCCAGGCTGAATTTTTCTGTTTTGAGGCCAAAACTAGGATATTTAGAATGGCCACTAACCAGACACCTGCATGTCTCCGTAACTGGAGATGTGGTGAATGCCAGCACAGGAAAGCACTCACTGAGGAAATTAACATGCTATAAATACCGGTCCTTTTAGTATCACATAGGGCAACTTTGCAGCATTTTTACACAAAGCACAGGGAGTGGCTTTCTGGCAATGATGCCATGTACAGAGTCTAACCCGTGATCAGAAACAGCTTGCCTCTAACCCTGTTTCCAAACAGAATGTGAGCTGCTGTCTCCCTTCATTCCTTGTAACACACTGGGGGTTCTTAAACCAATCTCTAGGGCAGCCATGAACAGCCATGCCATGCCCTCGAGATCTGCCCTTCCTTATAATGCTGCTGAGAAGGGATACGATTTTCCAGGTGCAGGGTTTTTGCTTGTTTGGTTTGGTTTTTAAAATAATATTCTATTGTTTTATAAATTCCTGTGATCTTGAAAACATGCATTTGACCTGGGAGGGGAGAATCAAGAACCAGCACACTGCATACACATGCCTGGATGCTGAAGGATGCCTTATCCCCCATCCATCTATTGTGGAAGAGGTAGGTTTGTGGCCTGGGCCATCCAGAATTTGCCATCTTAAACAGAGGGGTACAAAGATTGAAGGATTCAGAAAAGGGCCTTTAGGCACCCCAAGTGATCCTTCTCTGAACTGAGACCAGGAGGGGGGAATCCCTGGGACAAGATTATTTACAGTAACCCCAGAGTTGAGGAGGGGGCATATTGGGGGCTAGCAAGGGGACCCTTATGGTGTTAGCCTGCAGATGGCAGGGGGTCCCATAGACAACAGGTTGTCTGGTCTCTTCGCCTGTTCTTTGACACTAGACTTCCTGCTGTGTTACCAAACCCTAGTGACTCATTTTCAGTCATGTCCATTTTTATGCTGCATGTTTTGCACACCAGGGTTGGCACTGTACACAGCGCAGATAAATAATACATGCTAGCCCTCTTTCACTGCTCCAGCAAGGGCCCGCCGTGCTCATTCAGCGTAGAGTGTCACAGGGCATTCATTACGGGCCAGTGTGTTTGCTCTTCCCTAGCTGGGACAACAGGAGAGTGTTTGAATCGCAGTCCTACTCCTCTTGTTATAAGTTTGAGACAAGTCACAGAGGCTGAGCTGCTGGGTGTACTCCTGGGGTACGGCTACCTACAGCAAAGAAAAACCTGCAGCAAGCCTGCACCAGCTGATGCGGGCTCGCAGGGCTCGGGCTGTTTCAGTGCTGTGTAGACTTCTGGGCTTGGGCTCAAGCCTGAGCTCCGGGAGCCTCCCACCTCGCAGGGTCGCCTGAGCCTGGACGTCTACACAGCAATGAAACAGCCCCGCAGGCCAAGGTGGCTGGCATGGACCAGCCCCGGGTTTTCCTTTGCTGTGTAGACAGACCCTTGGCTGACTATTACGAGTTTGTGATTGTGACATGAAGGTGAGCATGGAATGGCTGTAGGAGTGTGGTAACTAGGGCTAGACACCATGATGGCTGTAGTGACCTGCAGCAAGGTTTGCCAGTAGACTCTCAGTAGGCAAAACGTGAGGGTATTACCCACTGGTACTAATGTGTCTGGCTATCCAGGCTCACAACACAAGTTCAAAGAGGCCGTGACAAAGTCAGCAGTGCCCACGTGGCATACAGTGGTCTGCTATGTCTGCTCCTGGGTGACCATCTTCAGAGTTAGGAGTTCTCCAGCGTTTGCTAGTATAGACCAGACCTTAACAAAGAGATGGTCTTGTAGCCACCTCTGCTCCAGTCACTCTCCAGTCGCGTCCTTGCGGCTACTACATGGCAGTTGGTTACATGGAATCGTACCACTGGGAAAGTATTTCAGGTATTTGTAGCTGTCTTTTAGTGTAAACAAGGAGCAGCAGCTAGCAGCATGTGACCCACCAGCTCTCTGCAGGGCGCCAGACAAGCGCTCCATGGGCCTTAGTCTGGGGCTGGCAACCACCAGAAGAAAATCGCAACGCTTTGGAGTTGCTTTCCATGCTGATCTCTTGGAATGGCCATCAAAGGTATTGCATCATCTGAAAGCAAAGGGAGGTTTCCTCGCTCAGTCCCTGAGGGCACCTCTGACACACTCAGCACTGTCTACAAGGTAGATATGCTTTTTATAACCCACACTCTGTGTTGGGTAAAAGCCCCTGCTATGTGCAAAATCTATTATGCTAATGCACAAAAAAAAAAAACCCAACCCCCTGGAAGGGGAGTTCTAACCCTACAGGGTGTCTTAGCACAGACAGGAGAGTCAGCTACTCACACTGCACCTACTCACACTGGCTACAGTACACGTTGAAGGATACTTCTGTTTGGAGACAGTTCTTCTAAAGGGGACTTGGGTTACAGTGGAAGGACATTGCTGTCTGGGTGGCGTTTGTCCCCAGTGGCTCTCTCTGAAAGGACTACAGCCAGGCTGGAGGGTGGGAAATGCCTATGAGGACATCTGGAAGCCATGGATGGAGAATGTACAGAAAGTGGATTCGGATTCACAGGTAGGTATTTATTTGCGCACAGAACTGGCCCACGATGGGGATTATCCTCTGAGGGATTCTTTCATTTAGGTGCTCAGATTGTACAGTGATAAGCATGGGATAAACCCTTACACAGAACAGAATTTAACTTACTCGGGAATTGTAGCTGGAGCGCTGGGTGTTGTTGGATTAAATTCTGTGGTGGATGCACAGAGATCCCTGCCCCAAAATGCTGCCAGTCGAAGGCGAGAAGACAAAATGCACTAGGTCTCTAAACCCAGGGCCTCTCCTAGATTTACAGACAGACAGTAGAATCCACAGAATAACTCCCCAGCCACAGCCACTTGTGGCCCTTGGTTTTGGTGTCCGTAGCCCTGAGTGCAGCTGGTTCTCTGGACATAGTTATGGGTGCCTGAATCAGACCCCCAGGATCAGCCTCAGGAGATGACTGGGATAATTGGCCAGCTGTCTCCATAGTGATTAGTGTGCTCTAATAATCTAATCAAACCCACCAGAACAGGGCAGTAGGAACAGACCTCAAATCATAGACAGGAAAAACAGGGCTCCCAGCCAAGGAGCTGGGAATGGGGGAGGAGAACAGAGACAGTAAGCTACCAAGATGGAGAAAGAGGGGGTAGAAGGAAACAAGTAAAGGAAGAAAAAAAGTGAGGGGCTATCTTGAGCCTTTAAGGCCCAGCTTGTGCTTTAGGAGAACTGGGGCTCAGCCACAGGGAGGATGGAGCCAGCCCTGAGGGTCTCTGTGGAGTTGGGGGGGCTAAGCCCCCTGGAGGAGCCCAGTATTGGTTGCGATGTTAGTCTCACAGGTCCCTGTGATCCCTGCGTGCAAAGTTGTATGCAGGGACATGGAGGGAGGGAGAACTGCCTGCACCCTCTGCCTTCATTGCCCATCTGCACGGGGCCAGGCACAGCTGAGCCAGGGGCTGGGGCTGGTGTGGGAGGAAGAACAAGATGATGGTGGCTAAAGTGGAAAGAGAGAACACCAAGTGGCAAGAGGGAGCGTCTCACCTGCCACCCTGGTGAGTTCCAGGCGACAGGCAGAGGAGACAAACCGGGTTTTTAATCCCAGACGGCCTGTTCAGGGCAAAGCCCGTTCTGCCGCCCCCCCCCCGCCTGCCCCAGGGGTCCTGTTCCCTTCTAGGAAAGAGTTTCCTCTTTCAGACTTACTGGTAAAATGGCATCAGCAAACAGGACCCAGATGGCCCCAGGCCCCAACCAGGCAAGACAGGCTCTTTCTGTGGTGCTGGGAGGAGCCTGGCTCACCTTGAGGTAGGATATGATCAGGAAGACTAGAAAGGGGGCACAAAGCCAGCCATTCAGACAGTGAGCTCAGCAGGGAAGGGACTGGCTCGGATTCTGGGTCTGCAGAGCTGCTCTCGATCGGCAGCACATGGTCTGATTTAAACCCTGCTCTCTGCTCAGAGTGGGTCGTAGGGAACCTGTCACCTCAGCCAGCAGCGTCCCAGACTGCAGACACGCGTTGGGTGATGCCCCTACATCAGGACTCTGCATCAATGCATACTGGTGCCAGCTGGGGCTGAGAGCAAGGCCTAGGCACCACCCGTAGCTGACCCTGCCAGAACTTGGCAGCTAAGCAGGGTCAGACACGGGAGCTAGCCACGCAACCAGCAAGGAGAGAGAGGAGACTCACCCAAGTCCCTGCCAGATGCCAGGCGGGAGAGATGGTGTTGGAGGTAGCCCTGGGCTGAGATTTAAGACAAAGGTAAGTGGATGCATCAAGTAACGCAGTTTCCCTCTCTCCGACTCAGCCCTGACCCACCCCCCAGCATGGTGCTGGCATGCACTGGGCTGCGTGCGGAACTGGCGTTTGTGTCAGATCTAAAATGCTTTACTACAGAGGTGCCGCCTGTGGACTACTGGCCCAGTGTGCAATACTCTGTCCTGATTTAGGGGACCAAGCAAAGCCCAGCACAAGGCATCTGCAGAGCTGCCCCCCATGTTAAAGAGGAGGGTGGCTGCCATTTGCAGCCTCCTAAGACAACTAGGTGCAGGTGGCAGACGCCTGGCACACTGTCAATGCGTCTCTCCGCGGGGTGAAGTTTGACTGCCCCAGGTCTATGCAGCCAGCACTGCAGGAGCCCCGTAGTCATCTCTCTGCCCTGTACAGGGACATTGCTAAGTGTTCTGGCAAAACCCTTCCGCTGAACGGCGGGGGCAGGGCTGAAGTGGGTCAGTGAGGAAGTGGTCTCATGGGTCACCAGGTTAAACCCCCTGTCCAGTAAGATTCACCTTTCTGGTTCCCCCACCACCAAGTATATTCCCTTCCCCAGAATCTGCCCCCAGGAGCTCATTCCCCACTCTTCCACCACCCCCAGGCTCTCTTCCTGGCCCTGCCTTCCTGCTGCTAACACCCTCTGCACGGGTCTCCACGGAGAGGACTTCCTTGATTTCCTCCTGCGGGCTGGTGCATTGGCCAATCACTCTGATCAGAGCTTTGCTTTCAGGTAATAGCTCCCCTAGTGATGCTGAGAAAGGCCACAATGGGGTGGATGGACAGAAGCAGCACTAAAGTGACCTTCCCTCAAAGGAGCTGGGAACAGCTGGTGTGGGGAGTGCACAGAGGAGCGAGAGGCCAGCTTCCCCCCACGATAATAGCCATGGCAGGATGAAGTGGTATCCCCTGGGCCCAGGTGCGTGGGGGATACCAGGGAGTGGTATCCCCAGGGCCCAGACAGGTAGCGTCAACATGTTAATTCTACAGAAAAAAAAATGAAAATCCAAGCAGGAGACTTACAGAGATCCCTGGTTCCAAGGAGTCCGTGTTCACGATAATGGGAGCAGGGTTAGCCTGTTAGAGAGACGGAGACAAAACCCAGAGTATCACACAGCTGAACCATGGGTCCCAGTGCTCCCAGCCACCCTCTCCAAGATTTGCCCACACAACCACATGGTACTTAACAGAAGATCAAGACATGAAAATAAGGCAGCGTTCTCTGGCACTCTCCCTCCACCACCTTGTGTCTCTGTTTGGGCCAGGTCTGACTGGAGGGGGCCTGGCAAGATTCTCACAGGCTTTCCAGGTGCCGCATCCAGCCCAGTAGCATTCCTGCCCTTGGGGAGCCCAGGTGCCATGGCACGGGAAGGGAAGGAAACAGGCCCCACCCCTAACCTCTAGCCCAACTCCAGAACAGGCTGTTCCTGAATTCCCGACTAGTGGGAGCCTGGCAGCTGGGAAGAGGGAGAAACGTACTTTTGGCTGATGTGGCTAGGCACCAGTGGACTAAGCTTGGGGTAGGAGCTGGGAACAGCCAAGTTCCAGTCCCCATTCTACAGCAGATGCAGCCTGTGACCTTCCCCTCATCAGAACATGGGGCGTGAGGGGGCTGTGAGAATTAACTCAGTAATGCGTGCACACCACGCAGGAGCGCACAGCCTGGCCAACATGCTTGGGGGCGGCAACTGCAGAAACTCTAGCATCAACATTCATTTCACAAATTGCAGTCCTGCCTGTTCAGGGCGTGTGGGCCTCTAATCCGGACCCACAGGTTCCCGTGCAGCCCTCACGCCCAGGCATCGCTGGACAGCTCACCCACAACTACTGGAAGTGAGGGGCTAGCAGAACTCTGGCCCTCCCAGAGGCCCCAGCCACAAGGATCCTGACTGGCCCCACCATACCACGTTAGCCAGAAGGAGGCACAGGAAGTTGTCTGAGCAACGGAGAGACTTTCTGACCAGCCACTGCACTGCACCTGACACTTGTTTGAGCCTTGGATTCGGATTCTGGCTCTGACCCCTGCCTTGGCCTCTGGCTCTGACCATTAGGCCTGACCACTCCTGCTCCGATCCCTGGGCCAGCCTGTCCATGTCCCAGTCCTGACACTGCCTCCCTGGGTTTTCAGCTTCCTTTGAGCAGCCGACCAGCAGCTGAACTACCAATAATCAGCTGACCACTCTGTCCCAGCACCTGGAAGATGAACACCTTCGAGGGCCCCAGGATGGGCCATGGCATTTAATGATTTGGAGACAATGGAGAGGAATTTCCATTTCCTCAAACCACTTGAGCAGCCCATAACTCCTCCAGGGCACCAGGTTTACATCCCCCAAACCACCCCCTGCCCCGGCACTCGACAGCTATCCTCCCAAAGCACCACGCGGCCTCTCCCCCAGACAGCCCAGGAATGTCTCTCCCCTCAGCCCCAGCTGGTTCCCCCCTCCCCACAGTCTGGGCTGTTCCCGGTTAGTGTCGCTGATCTGTGACCTTGTGGCTGATACTTGGTGCCTTTCCAGGCTTTAGGGATGCTCTCTTCCCTAGAGAAAGCTTCTCCAATCGCTGCAGCTCCCCTCACTGGGTCTCCTCTGTGTCTGGCACAGTGTTTGACGGAGGATATTCTACACGTGTGCTGGAGAAAGGAGGCGGAGCAGTCCCGAGAGCTCCTGAGGCCAGGTGAGAGGGAGGGTGATGATGAGAGGTAGCCACAGGTGCAGGAGTGTCTTTGTGTATCAATGACCTGGAGCATGGGCAGGTAGGGAAGCACATTTCCTGACACAAAGTCAGGCTGGGACGGCAATGACATTCAGAATGAGAATGGGGGCCGGGAAGGGACTGGTCCAGCCCCCAAGGATGGGAGGGGAATACAGACATCACCCAATGGCAGAAGGTGAGAGAGCCGGGAGATGAGCACTGGAGAGGTGGGGAAGAGCACGTGATAAAGCCGCAATGGCTTGGGTGGTTAGAGAGTGAGATCTGTACGGAGAGATTCAAACGTTCCATCAGGCGCTTTCCATCCCCTCGAGACACATCAGGCATGAGCTTTTCATCCCTTTTCTCTGCCGTGTGTATCAGGGAATCACCATCTTCCAGCCTTTGCTTGGCCTTGGAGTCTGGAATGAGCGCAGGTGACAGAGTGAAAACGGGACAAATCACACGACACAGCTACTGAGGTCTCCGCTGTAGGTCCACTCATGGGACCTGCCGCCCCGGCCCCGGTGCTGATTCTATGTTCAGCCCTGCCAGAGAGCTGTCCAGCAGGAGACCCTCCCGAAGGACAGCAGCAGCGCCCGGCTGACGCCCAGCCTGTGAAAAGGAATTCTCCTCCTGCCCCTCCCACCCAGGCAGAACCTGCTACTGCTCTGGGCTCTTCCTCCCCGCAAACTGGTCTAGAGACATGCAAGAACTGAGAGCGGCAGAAGGCACCAAGCGTATCCTGGCCACTGCAGCTCTGGGAATACACAGGTACAATTGTCCCAAACACCTAATAAACAATGAGCACGGCTTCACCTGGGCCAAAACCATTATGCCCATTAATTGGCTGATGACATTGAAATCCTTCCCATAGCTGAGCTCAATTATCTAGAGACGGACCATGCTCTATCACATGGGGGATCAAAGGTTGGCTCCTCAACTCACTGTTTCTCTCCACAGTCAGGGCTGATGTGGAGACAGCATGCTCCCCCTACCCCTGAAATGATGCATCCCTTGAATGGCCATTGCCGGCCATAACTATCAACCACAGGGTTTTGTCCTTTGAAGCATCTGGCTAGATGGTCTCATTTGGTGAGGCAGTTCCTACGTTCTAGCCAGAAGCAGCGCTGATGTGTTCCCAAGAGAGCTGCATTCAGCCCTCCACCATCAGAAAGAAGCAGGCTTGATGAAGATTGCAAGGCAGTGAAGGGGAACATCTCACAAGATCACTCACCCTCCAAACACAAGACAGATATTGTACAGAAGTATGGAGTTTAGAAAGTTCCTCCACACATTTGTGCCCCACCTAGGCCCCCTCCCTTCCTGACACTCACCTCAAGCACAGAAGAACAAAGCTACTGTACCAGATTCCCCTCCCTCTGTCTCTTCCAACACAGCTCCTAGGTAACCTCCTCCTCCTCACTCCCCACAAACAGTGCTCTCAAGGATGCGCCTCCTTCCTCTCCACTTCCAAGCAGGTTCAGTAAGAACAGATGTTATCTTCCACCATAATTAATAAAAGTTTCAAAATAATGAATGGCCTAGAGAAGGATGATTGGGAGCCCATTTTCATATCATCTATGGAAGTGGTTTTCAACTTATTTATCACTGTGGGCCAGGTGGCAGGCCCAACCCTGGACCCCCACCATGTGGGACCAGCCAGTGACCCTGACCTGTGGGAGGCTGGGCAACAGTCCCAGACCCCACAGGTCCGGCTGGCAACCCCGATCCCAGACCCCATAGGGCAGCTGGCAGCCCCAAACCCCAGACCATGCAGGGCTGGGTGGCACCTCCAGACCCCAGACTTCTGCTGGGGGGGGGGAGGGAGCTGGGCAGCAGCCCCGGACCCCTGCTGCGCCAGGCAGCCAGGAACCCGGACCCCACCACGTGGCCCGGCGGCTGTTAGCACACAGCTGGGCTACTAATTGGGCTGCATGTGGCCCATGGGCCGCAGGTTGAGAACCGCTGATCTATAGTCTCCCTTTCTCATAAGGGACAGGCAAGTGCAAAGTACTGTATTTAGAAAGGAAAAATCAAATACACAGGTATCAAATGGGGAATAACTGGCTAGGCAGCCCCCAGCTAGCCCTGATATATCTGCAGCTAATGCCAGGCCGGGAGGGCAAGAAAAGGAGAGAGCTGGGCTCAGTTCAGGGCTGACTGGCACAGGGGATGGATCTAGCCACCTCTCTAAGTGAGGGAAAGGATCACTAACCTGCCCACCCAGGCAGCCACCAAGGAGGAAGCCCTGTCCCCCCAGCTGTAGGAAAACTCTGGAGGAGACCTAGGAGCAGTGCTCTGAGTGCAACTGAGAGGGTGAAGCCCAGTGACATTGTGGAACTTGGCCTCACCACTGACTGAGCCTGGGACCATGATGAGGTGCCACTCCAGACCCATGGGAAGCAGCCTACAGGAACAGGCCATCCAACTAAGAGGACTAGAGGGGCTATGCCCCAAACCAAACAGACTGGTAGGAAGTAGTCCAGGGCAGCGAATTTAGACTCCCTGCTGAGAGGGCTAACAAACTTAGGAACCAGGGCGAGGACCCAGTGGAGAGGGAGGCCCCGGGTCTCCCTACCTCCCCACCAGCCTTAGAAACAAGCCCCACAACCAAGTAGGGAGTTGGGAGCCATGCACGCTAAGCACTAGGTTGTCCATCCCTCCAGGCTGTTACAGAGCCGTACTGCAGAAAAGTATCTGGGGGCTTTACAGCAGATCAAAGTGAAAACGAGTCAACAATGTTATTCTGTTGCAGAAAAGGCAAATGAAATTATGGGATGTATTAACAGAAGTCTCATATGTAAAAGATGGGAGGTAATTGTTCCACTCTACGCAGCACCAGCGAGGCCGCAGCTGGAGTACTCTGGCCAGTTTTGGGCAACGTAGGTTAAGAAAGATGGGGACAAGCTGGAGTGAGTCCAGAAAAGAGCCACAACAATGATAAAATGTTTAGCAGCCCTGACCTGTGAGGAAAAGTTGAAATAATTCAACATGTATATTCTAAAGAGAAGAGAAGACTGCGGGGCAGGACATGATAGGAGTCTTCAAATATGTTAAGGGTTTTTACAAGGAGGGCAGCGATCAACTGGTCTCCATGTCCACTGCGGGTAGGACAAGAAGTAATCAGCTGAGTTTGCAGCAAGGGAGATTTAGGTTTGCATTAGGAAAAACTTTCTAACTTTAAGAATAGTTAAGTTATCTAGGCAGGTTGTGGAATCCCCGTTGCTGGAATTTTTAAGAAATGGGTAGGCAAGAACTTGTCAGGGATGGTCTAGGTATACTTAATCCTGCTTCGACGCAGGGGGTTGGACTAGATGGCTTCTTGAGGTCCCTTCCATCCCTACATTTCTGTGGCTCTATAACAGAACAACAAGAGGACACTCAAT